TAAACCGTCGGTGGATATAGATCATATATATTGTCTGAGAAGGGTATTAACTGTAAGGGGATATAGCATATATTGTCCGAGCAGGGTATTAAATATGTGTGGATGTCATATATTTGTCTGAGTATGGTATTATCATATATTGCCTGAGAGGATATAACTTTGACCCACCAGGAGAAAGGGGACTTTATGGGTGCTAGGATACAACTGTGCTGTGGCGTCATAAGACGTTTGACGTCAACGTATTTCAGTGAAGATCGCCATGTGTGCGGACTGTACAAAAATATCTTAGTTTTCTCTCGCTAGATCGTAATGTAATTATAAACCTTATTTCTAAACCTTTCTGCATACATGACTACTTTCAATTCATCAGATATCATGTATAAAAACTGCAATTATTACATTTATAAGTCGGAAAATGGGTCCAAATGTTTGATGACATGCATCGCTGTAGTAAATATGAATTGAAGTTTGTGAATTGTATTTTTGGGTTACGAAGAGACTGTGGTATTTAAAATATAATGAGAATCCAAAAGGTCCCTTATCTCATGGCAAGTCACCAGTGTTGCTTAGTAAACGTATTACATATTGCCCGAGTTGGGTTTAAGTGTTAGAGGGTGTATAAAGTATTTATTGCAATTGTTACGTTGATTTCTTGGAGGGAATAATTATAGATTACCAACTTCTTTGTGTTACAGCCTCGGTGACGCCTGTGTTGTTACTGACGTCGCGCCGGCTCTGTGTCCCTATTCAAGATGGAAATACTTGTAATCGCTAAAGAACATGTAAACAGAAGCATTACAACCGATATTGATGGCATCAATGTTTAATACAGTTTGGCGCCATTGTTCTACTACAAGAGTTACGTTGAACGTGTCACGTGTTTCATGTTTCATGTTTTGGTACAGAGACAGTGTTGGGGACTGATATCTTACATACTAGTTACTTATATTAAATATATAAGATATCTATAGTTAACTACCAAACTCCACTATGATATAAACAGGTGGTAGCAGCCTCGATTTCACGTATATCGCTACAATATAAGAGTGATGTTATACGAAATAAGACATTGGTTCGTGATACTTGCTAACAGTTGGAATTACGGGGTAAAAGTATTTCCATATTTCTTTCTTCTGAGGATTGACGATTCCGACGGGGTGACAAGTGGAGAAGGAAGTAAGAAATTGGGTGAGACTTTTTAACAAATCTTGACCGGCGCTACGTGCGAGAAATCAGGAGTTTTAGCCAAGTTTTGTGTGATTTGGTGACAGCTGAAAGCGATCGACCACTCGAGATGACTGACATCTCGTGGAAACACGAGACTTGCCTCAAATCACGCGATACTTACGCTAAATATCACCCACGTAGCCCTCAAAATAAAAACCCTGAATAAATAAACTATGCTTGTTAGATATCGCAATGGTCTGATTGAGCTCGACGTTTTGACGGGTCGGTCTCCCTCGCGCACCTGAACAAGTCAAGACGTTTGGTCTGGAATCCGCACATTTGACTTGGGGAAAAATACACAGTGGATATGAACCTCATGACGACCGGGTCGCTACCATTACAGTTTATACAGACAATCACGGACGATTATTTTTTCTAGAAACCTAATTATAAAAAGGAAATGCTAAATGGTACCCCGTAGGATGGTAGAGTGAGTACTTTACACAAGACTTCACCGTACCCAATACACGTTTTATTTGATCACGAATTAAATATGAAATAATATCCCTATCTGCGATGTGTTTAAGGAGGTGTATAAAGGTCATTTGGTTTTAATTGGTAAATTGCGTTATCCTAAATATTCCATTGAGCGCTGATCGTGGCACAAATGTTCTCCACCAACTAGTGTCAGTAGTCCGAGCTTATTCAAATATTTCAACTCATTTTGATGTAAATTTATTCAATAAAAAAGTTTGGCTATCTGGTGTCAATAAAATGAAAGAAAAACATCAAGTTACGTAAATATCCCCTCTGACCCCCGCTCTGACAAATATTTAAATTTGATGTACGTGATACTGCACTTACAGTGATAGAACGTCTCCACAATTGATACGAAACGGGGGCTTGAAATCTGGTGTATGTCAAAGCGGTATAGAATACGTGTATGGTATTTGTCATGTCGAAATACTATTTCTTGGCAACTGCTTGCATGTCATTGACAGATTCTAAAAGCGTCTGACGTCATGATATATTTAATCCTTTCAGATTTCTTGTAATGTAGTCCGTCACATTTCTAGAATGGCAGTTCACGTGTATGTAAACCAATGACCGTCCCTGTTTACCTAGCACAAAACTAAACAGACGGGAGAAATAAAAATGTTTTGATGGATAATCAGCATCCAGACACCATGTGTATACAAACATGAAAGAACGTTTTCGACATTGATGTAATTTGTGTCTTGTCATGATATATTAATCAAACGCGTCGTAATATTTCATTGATACTCTCTTGTGATACAAAAACATCACAGTAACGAATATCACTGTAAAGGCTAACCAACAGTTCTACAATATAGTTTTTCAGCAAATATCAATCACTTAAATTTTCGTTTTTGAGGCCTCCCTTTTAAGAATGAATATATTTGAAGTTTCTGCTTCTCGGGCGTCCGTGGTCCCGGGTGATTCAGATCGACAATTGCCGCATCCCTATCATCCTATTTATCTCGTTCACTTTGACAAAAGCCCAGTCCCTGGTGGTTTCTCGTTAATTAAATTAAAACCACGCGGTGTGATTGTGTTTCTAATTATCGTGATTAGCGTTAGATAAATACACGGAAATAAGCGAAATTAGCGAGCGTCTTTGTGGGAAGGTGTAAAACGGCGGTCGACGTTGACACTTCACGGACAACGACACCGCCGACTTGAGGATTGGATCTGGGCGAAATACTTGCTCCAGTTGGTATATGATCTGATATAAAGAGGAGATTATGGAGATTCGAATGGACACATCTGTTAAAGTCATGGTCATTTATGAAATACATTTCAAACGTATAATAACAGCGACAAATTGCTGGGCACTCAATACCGAACACAACTCCAGTTCTTTAAGATTTGCTGATATCGTATCTTTAGTATCTAATGTTAATGTCTTTTAAGAATTTTTTGATTATTTGGGCGAAGTTCTTGGGGAAACACGAGTTGAGTTATTCTATTATTCTATTATAATATTATTATATTATTATCATACTTTGTATATCCTTCACAAATTTAATAAACTTTACATTTACATTTTCGGGCCAACAATGAATTGAATCTAAATGAGTCTTCGGCGTCGCGTATGTATTTCCCTATTTAAATGATTCCAGAGTTTAAACACCACCAGTGAAGATAAAGCTAACACGTTACAATATTTGCACGTGATAGTATGTTTACAAAAAAAATATGAACACGTAAATCTGATGAAATGTCGCTCAAATTGATAGAAACTATCATTGTGATGATAACGGCCGCCGTAATGACCAGATGTACATGGAGGCAGGTCGGGCTATTTGTGTCTGTCAAAAATGATACCCACGCTAGCGATGTTATTATGATAGAAAACTAACGGCGAGGACAGTAAATGTTTCTCAAGCCTACAAGCCGCGTGTCTGTCCTGGTCCTGTCTCAGCAGGCTATAGACGCTAGATTCACCGAGCGAAAACGTAGCAAATCATCCCTCCCTCCAGGCGGCCTCTACTTGGTTCTTAGTTCCAACGTCTTAACTTGAAAACGTTGTAAAGTGATAGGTGACGACCCACAGTCAACGGGTATCTGCTTTAAAGGAGGAAATTAGTCGAAGACAAAATAGCGTTTCTCTTGGAATTGGCAATCATGTCCTAAACCAGCGTTGCTCTGTTTTAATTTGGTAACCCATAAAAAAAATTATTTCATAAAAATGAAATGATACCGTTACAATTGGAACTGCGTCATATCCTAAAACGGCAGCTTTAACTTGTGTAGTCTTGTTTCAAATACAGTGTAATATCATTTAAGAACTGAGCATTGATGATTTAATACTTTGTGTAACAGTTATAATAGTTTGAAAATATTTTCTGTCAAAATAAATTAATAGGGACACGAAGTGTGCAATCCTTTTAATTCTATTTGCAAATATTATTTTTAGAAATTCGTAGCTTGACGGATAATTTTAACAAACAAACGCGTTCTTAAAAAAAATAAATGTTTTGTTTTCCAGGCCTACTTTTGAATAATTGTACGAATAATGCGTATTTGTAGAGAATTTATCTATGCCTGTTGCTACAAAAATATAAGTCATATGGTTTCGTGTGTGACCTTGAAATACGTTTCTGACTGAGGGAGGTATAGTTTAGGCCGTTCCTGAATTGAAAGAGACAAATGAGCCGACTTAACAATGTTGGGTCAGTTCTAGGGGCAGACCTTTGTTTTTCTGGCAGCTTTAATTACAGTTTGATAACCCCCTCCACCCCGGCCGCTAACCCTCCCCACTGCCTGAGAAGCGGGGAGGTCCCCCTTCTTTGACAACGCCGGTGTAGGCATTAAAAAGATGTTAAAATTTGGCGGCGGAATCGGAGAAAGAAATATTATCTGATATTGCCGTGAATGCCAGCCATTTGCAGAAAGCTACGATAAGGACTACATTACCGTGGAACCTTACTTCACATGTCTGGCAATATTCTTGTTTAAAACTGCAGAATTTTATTTTGTTTGCAAAACCCAACAGGATGGAATAATTTATATACAGAAAACTATGCCATTAAGAAATGGAAAATAGCATTTCTCTGTAAATGTTCATATTTTCATATAAATTGTTGATTAAAAAATACAATACTTTAGCTTTGTATGATTTTTTAACCTGTGATAACGACCACACCAAGTACACGTCTCCGTCACACCCCCATTTAACTCGGCCGAGGGTAAGACTCATCAAGCTGATACACCCCCATTTTGTTGGGGTATTATCGGTAAGTGTGGTACTCGTATTGAGGTAGACTTTAAGCCTGCATGTAAAATATAAACAAGATTTAAATGACTACCTGAACTTCTTTCCTTTTCTTTTCTTCTTCTGTTTTTGTCTGTCTATCTGTCTTTTTTGTGAGCTCTGCTTTGAATCCGGCTTCTGTCAGTTTGGGGTCGTCTTTGGCTAATACGTCCATGAGATAAGCAATGTAACTTGTTGCCAAACGCAGTGTCTTAATCTTGGAGAGTTTAGTGTCTGATGGAACATTGGGTATACACCCCCGTAGCGACGCGAAGGCGTTGTTGATGCTCTGGGTCCGTCGTCGTTCCTTCTTGTTGGCCGTGATGCGGCGTTTGACGCACCTGATGCCGTTCTCATAGTAGACAACATGGGTGGCGGGGTCTATCGGGGGTGATCCTGGCCCCATGCCATACGCGTCGGGGGACACGGGCATCTCCTGGGCACCCAGCATCCAGTTCTGGAAGTACCCCGCATCAGTGTGGGGGTCGGGGTAGCGGACCTGGGGGTACTGGTAGAACTCGTGCCCGAGGGGGCCGGGGTGCGGGTAGCCCTGGGAGTAAGCTCCAACACTGAGACTCATGATGTCTGACAGCTGTGACAAGGGAAGAATATTCACACGGTGCTCGGAGATATTGGATCCGATCCAAGATTCCAACAGAAAAAGATTTTACACGACTCGAAATCACAACTCGCAGCTACTGTAGATGTGACTGTAGTAGTGTATGTCTCAATGAAGCTGCCTGCTTTTAAATGCACTCAGTTCCATATGTAAGCGATACCCGTGGAGGGAATCTTATCAAAGCCAACTCCATGACGTCAGGTTGATTCGGCCAATCAGCGACGTCGATCTTCTAGCAAGTTTCATTAATGAAACCAAGCACCGCCCCTTTCCCCGAGCTCCGCCCACTTGTCAGCTGATGGCGTGCGAGAGCAAATTGAGATCGCAGCGGCTCGCTGGTTCCAGAATTTGGTTGCTAATGGCAGCGGAGTGACAGGCAGTAAACATCGTAAACCCCTGTACACGTGGCCGGGTGGGGAGGGGCTGTGGACGGGTGGGTGTTGATTACTTCACGATACACACACTTTGATGCTAGATGATGACAATATGCCTGCGTTGAAAGATGATCTGATGCCAATCGACAGTCACCCAACTCCAACTTTTCCACATTATTATTCTTCTTTTACAACCCCCACCCCACCCAGCCAAACCCACCCCCCTAGATTATTTTTTTAGGTTTACTTAATTTACATTTTTTTTGGGTCGCACTTCTTATTTATTCATTACGCTTTTTTTCCCATTTAGTATAAGTGCTTCCCCTTGTGCGAGATACGCTAAATGTAATTTATTACATGCGGAAAGCGCACGTTAAATCCCCGAACGAACGAACGAACGACAGTCACATTTCATGCATTACCATAACAAACAACTTTCTTGTCAACCTTATACGTCAGATTTTTCTTTTCTTTGAATGACAAGTGCCAACCAAAATAGTGAATTGAAAAGTTACATTACTGAACCTTTAAATTTTAACGCTTTTACAGCGCGCCGTTTCCCGTGGTTTTCTATGTCTCTCATGGTTTAAATGAAGATAATTCTTAAACCCAAAGCCTACTCCGTCACCTTACACAACAGTGCTAGATCATCTCTCACTAGATACTAGATTTGTCAAACTGATAACACACAACTGCAAGATATTTTATTTCTTGGTGTTTGAAGTGCTTTGTGTTGTAGCTAGTTAGATCTCTGCATCAAGTCATACTCACTTACCTGTGTTATTCTCCAGATCTGTGGGAGTGTTGTGTTGTGACGTTCAACACTTTAAAAGCGTGGTTTGGCGCATGCGAAACATTTCCGCGACATTTGATATCCCTTGTTAAACTAAAGTATTGTGCGTAGTTGGTATTGATACCACCAGTTAGAGTGTTATTTACATAATATTTTGAGGTCTTCCAAAAAGACCCGTACGAGCAAAGAAGAAGGGATATTTACATCCATACACTTGGAACTCCTCCAAGCGTTACGGGTATTCTAAAATATGTCTCCACAACATCAAAGGGGACCAAGAACAAACAGCATGTTCGCGCAAGTTTAAAAAAAGAGACACAGTCCGCAAAAATCAAGAACACCTTCTGAAAAAGTTGATTCTGTTTGTAAAGTAAGTTCCTAATATCTGCAACACGACGATTGTTTACCACCCTGAGTGAATGAATGTTGTTGGGAGCCGCATCAATGGTATTTCAGCTATACGTGACTTCTTCAAATTAGTCTCATGGAATTATGTTTCGACACGTTACATTTTATTAGATAAAAAAGATAAAAAAGAATCTATAAAATCCGGCATAAAGGGACAAAGTATTTGATGTAGTGATCACGTGGCATACCCAGTCACATTGATTGTAGCAGGGTGAATATGACGTGTTCACAGATTGTATTTAAGGTGGAGCGCTGATTAATATACACCGCCCCTCGTCAAATTAAACCATGCCGTGATGTTGCTGTATCAACTCAGACACCCGGTGGTGTGCAGATGCAACACGCTTCACATTTACCTCCACTGCTTGACTACAAAGGTTCAGGTCAGTGGAACGATATGAAGAACATATGAATAAAAGTGACCTACCAGGGTCCCCCAAAACATTCGTAAAAATTCATTTATCAATATGTACTTCTGTTGGCGCATGTGAAACCTTCACTTTTATTATATCTATATTTTCATATATCTTTAAGTGGCATTTTTAAGTTGTACAAGTGAAGACCTGATAGACTTCAACCCTTTTTTATTCTTTTCAATTTATATACCAGTATTGTAGCCGGTATTATTCCAAAGGAAATTCATATTGCACAGATAGATAGCACTAAAATATGAAAAAACGAAAACATATGATATTATAATATGTATATAAGAAAATAAGACATTTACTAATATAATCACACATAAAAACATTTACGAATTGAACATTGTAGAAACTAATATTCAGAATGAAGTATCTGACTTCTGTCATTTCGTATCTTGCGACAATTTGCTGTTCATAAATTTCGCCGTTGTGTTGAAATTGTGTACCTGAGGTTTTCCTTGCTGTATTCAACGTAAACTCTATTTCATATTCAACGTAAACTTATACATTCATTCTTGCTTCACTTCGGGCTCCCCCCCCCCCCCCCCCCACACACACACACACATCAAGCTGACTCGCCGTGATATAACTGGAATACTGTTAAAAGCGGCGTTGAACACAACTCACTCACTCATGTTCACATTATGTTATATCATGTTATGAATGATTGTTTCGGTTTGTATAAAGTATTAATATGAAACATCTACATATGATTGAGGAGACAATTAACGTACAGATAGCATTCGGTTATCTTTTCATCTATGCTGTAAAAGACCAAACATATTGCTAAAACCAAACACATTCCTAAGGTCATAAACACACTGACAAGGTGTACGTCATGCCATGCATACAGAATCGGTCGACGTATGAATAATTCTTTCGACCATATTGAATAATCGATACCAATAATCGTCCCTAGCACATACGGGTCCTTGTGGCTCTACGCGGAGAAATGACGCGGGTTCGCCAGAAAAGAAAGAAGAAATTAATTTAATAACCAAATGGAAGCATAATTTCTTATAGTCAGAATCATGACAGAAAAGTCTCTTTTGTTTGTGTGTATTTCTTTGTGCAGCCGTGCGTTCAATATTGATATCTAACTGCCAATGTTTCCAGATAGCGGTTATCGTAAACTGCAGGGCCAAATAAAATATATACTTGTACATTGGATTTGAGCAAAAATTGCCAGTATTTTCAAAACGTTACTAGGCTGGAAACAGTCGCGGAAACACTGCAAATGTAGGTCCAAAAACACAGCTGTGATACCCGTATCAAATACATCAGCAGCGAATACCCATTTCTTGGTTCTTTCATTTTTAGCCAACATCAAACATGTTGTATACTTTCTTTCCCCCTGTCAGTTTGGTTGATCAAAATGATTTCTATTAGCGAAAACAAGATTTCCGACACTTATACTTTACTTTGAGTATAAAGACTTATGGTGTGATGGCTTACAGCGAAACATTTGCCAATATATTACAACGAGCGTCAAGTTTACCCACGCACATATAATGTTGTACAGCATTTTTCTCTTTCTGCATTGTGTATGGTTTAAACATATTTTTATTTCAAAAGAAATCTGGAGCGGTAAACAAGCAAAGCTTGCTGATGTAAATACCTCTCCAGGTAATAACTTTACAACAGCTGGTTATATATCAGATTATATGTAAGATAGTGCTAAACATAAACATACAAAATGCACAAATGAAATATATGAAGCCAAACCATTGAAGCACGTGGCGTCTGTGAAATAAAACAACTATATGCATAAAATTAAGCTTTTCAAATCTTCTGCTTTTGACAATGAAATCGTGAACTGATTGAAGAAAAGCCATGTTTGTAGAACTGCCGGCTGAACTATTGCCATGTGATGTTGTTTTTTAATCATAGCCATGTGTGTAGAAATACATAGGTTATTAATAATTGTATCAGAATGATTAATTAGGGATCTAAATTCTTTGAATGGGCGAGCATAAGTTACTTCATCAGGCAGAGTAATCCGCAGGTTAATCGTATCCGGAAGAAATGATTGAGCATAGGTCTGGGTTCTACATTTGATTGTTTGTATGTTAGATCTGTTTCTATGGTTACCAATGCAGACTTGTTTAAGAAGAGAAGTCCAGACTGGTATCTGGTTGTACACTGAACCTTCCTTCGTGTCAGATGAAACAGTATGGGTTAAAACAGGAATCTGCCTGACTTTGGTCGTGGGGTTTCGGATGCCTATTTAATAGTAGTTGTAATAATAATCCAGTAATAATAATCCAGTAATTAAACACTTACAGAACAATACTTACCTTTAATGCCAATTATACAATGTGTGCTATTTCTCATGTCACTATCAATACATTGCTATTTGTATATGTATCATGTTTGGGAGAGGCATTCAGATAAGCAAAATTTGCTTGTTTGCCAATCCCTCCACTTTATGGAAATAAATATGTTTATATCATAGTAGTTGTATATAAATTGACCGGCAAAAGAAAGTATACAGCCATGTTTGATGGTAGCTAAAAATGAAACAAACAAGAAATATATTTTCGATGGTGATGTATTTCATGCGCGTATCACGGTCGCGTTTCGGACCTTAGTGTGTGGGGGCGGTCGGGTAGTCTAGTGGTTAAAGCATTCCCTCGTCACGCCGAAGACCCGGATTCGATTCCCGACATTGGTACAATGTATGAAGCCCATTTCTGGTGTCCCCCGCCATGACATTGCTGGAATATTGCTAAAGGCGGCGTAAAACAATACTCACCTGGTGTTTCAGCGACTGTTTTGAGGCTCGTAACGTTTGCAATTGTTTGGTCAAATCCAATTTTCAAGTGCAGACTTTCTTTTGCCAGGCAGTTTAACGCCAATAACTCATAAATAGACAGATACCCCGAAACATCTGAATGCCATCAATATTCTAGTTATAATACCATCGTCATATAACTGGAATATTGCTGAGTGCGGCGTTAAACAAACAAACTCATGCTTTATCAAAATAACTTTATTCCTCATCCGCGGCTTCGTTGTGAGATGTTACAACAACGTCAGGCACAGCCCAGTTGATACCCTCAAAGCAAGCACGTGTTGAATATAAATATGTGTTTATTAAATAAACATTAATAATTGTTGTATAATATATAAAGAATT